TAAAATCAATACATTCATCGCTCCGCTCAGAATCTAAAATAAAATGTTCATAACTTAACATTGATTTCAGCAATCATTCCACAAAAATATAAAATTAATTATGTTTTTCAAAAACAATTAATTTCATACATTTAATCTTAACCATTATTATCATTCCAAATAATTTAGTATGAAACCAATGGGACAAATACCTAATTATGATAATTTTATTTTGTATTTTTTACATATAATTATTAAACTTGATATATATTTTTAACATTGAACAAAGTATTGCAAAGTAAATCAATAAAATAATAATTTCTTACTAGTAATATACAACTCCACTTAGTTTGTAATCAATATAACTATAGGTACCTGTGCGTATGTGCGATCGTGATAAAAATAGGAATTGAATCATTATATTTGGTGTATTTTGTTTTACCCGCTAGTGTTTTCAACGGTAATTTGATTGAATAAAATTGGTTTCGGAATATTATTTGCATGTCTATTGACGTATGAGAAAACATAATATTACCGATATAGGAACAATGTCTGCAGGTATCGTCACGTAATCTACTGATCAGTTATTCTTTTTAAATAAGCGATTTGTTTGAGCCTTACAAATTTCATAAATATGAATATACAATTATATGATAATATTTTCATCATTAAACGACGTAAATATTATATGGCTAATAAATCACAAAAACACTGTGGTTGCACTGAGCTTACGTAAAAACATTGTAAATATTACAATACACGTATGTAAAACGCATGAKTATTGCCCCTTATAATGTAAAAGTCACTCAAAAAGTGTAGGTAAAAATCGATACAAAGCGTTGGAAAACTATGCTTATAGATAGACATAATATTCATGTGAGTCCTCACTATTGTTCTTTTGGTATTCTACCTCTTGTGAAGTGTAGACACATCAATTGGAAGAACTGGTACGCTCTAGAACACATGCTGAAAAATATTAGGAAAAAATGATTTTGCATAAAAAGTATAAAGTTGTAAAAGGGATTGAAATATTATTTAAGTGGAAATACGTGTACTGCAGTTCTTGAAATAAAATGAATAAATATAAAAAAATAAAATATTAGTATTATACTGTAATTTTTACAACGATTTACTCAACAATTTTTCCAATGTTTCCACATATTTATAACACAATATTAAGAGATAAGTGATTGAAATAGAGTGAAACACAAAAAAACAAAATAACGAAATAATGTGTGTTTATGGCTAATTAAAATTATTGTTTTTAGTATATTTATATTATTAATATTTATTATATTGATTATAGTACGAGATTCCCTGATTAAAACATGTAGGTACGAACTGATCAAAAATAAATAAATATGAAATGACAACGAACTAATTTTATTTTGGTTTTAAATTTTAAATTTGAGTAACCACTCTGCTGTACAGTTGTTTTCGAGTGTGTCATTATTATAATGGATGTTTTATATTTGAATTTAATGTAGCATTTTTAATGCTAGCTATAAAGAGATATTTTAATGATTTTCTAAATGACAAATAATTTGAAAATCTCACCATTTTTAATGCTACGCTCAAAACTTAACAAATCTCAAATTCTGATTTATTTTCCTTTGAAACGCCTAAATTAAGATTTACTATTTGCATAATATACAACGGTTGTCGACATCTTAAAATTGCGAAAAGTTTATATAGAAGGAAACATAATGTTTTAAATATGTGGCCAGTATTGAAGGATAATTTCCTTAAAATAGATACCTATACTTTAATAGAAATAATTAGAAATTTATAATTCCATGATATTACAATCATAAACTGTTGGTGTACGCAGAAACAACTTAAGTGTAGAAACTTTGATAATTTAATATAGTTTTGTTATAACGCGAATAAGATCTCCTCCCCATTTTAACTTTCCAGTGGAAATGATAATTGATCAATGAATGTTTTGAGATACTAGTTTAATATAATAATAATATGTTCATCAGCGATTCGATTTCTGTATAAAATGTAGCATCCATAAAACATTATTTAGTTATATGGTAAACTTTTCATATCAATGATTATAATATCGTACCCTTTCATCTCAAACTATAAATTATTATCAAAACAGTCCGTTTTCATTCATTATTCTCAACTTCTGACAGTCTATATTTCCATAATAAACAGTCATTGAAAATAATTGCGCACAACTAAAATCTGGTGTAAAGTGAACAATCGGTTTTGATTGTTTAGTCAGTTATAGTATAGGTACAGTAAAATATTTAAACAAGATTATTGGGACGAAATCGATAATATAACGGTCCAAAGAATCTGAATAATACGAAGTCGGCTTTATCCTCGACGAGAATATTATAGTAGTGACCATTTCAATTTGATTCCTTTCACGCAACACTGAAGATATGATAGTAAAAAACTTACGTTATTATTTGGATTTTAAATTACCGTAAAATTTGGAAAAAAAATATAAACTGACGTGTTTACATTAAATAACGATGGTCATTTGATGTAGGATTTAATATATAAATATATATATATATATTTAAACTTTTTATTAAAAAATAGGAATAGTATAAAGTTGTGGGCAATAACTTGATAGTTTTTAAGTTGTTATGTTCTAATAGTTTAAGGTATTGGTAAACTCACGATCAAATCAATTTTCGATTTTTTACCACTACTAAGGTTAAAAAAAATAAAGTTGTCATTCAGTAGAATTAAATTTGTCATTATTCGGTATGTTTTTGATTTCATAAATATCATTATTATTATATAAATAGATTTTAGCCGTCATACTATAATTACTGTAGAAAACCATTTCGCTAACGACAATACATTAAAATAAGTCTTGACTCTGTAATTGTGTGTTATACTATAGATTTTTTACCACTCTGTGTTATTAGTCCATTTATGTCTAACTAAACTGATTGTTTTTATCCTAATATCAGTACGCTGCAGATGTTTAAAGTTACACGTCGTTCAACTCGCATGCTAGAGTCGTTTAACAAGCTTTCGATTGATGAATTGAATTGAAAATTTGTAGTTAAAATATCATCAAATTGGAAATAAACGATTATATAGAGAAAATTAAATAACAAGGTCAGTAAAAAATGATTGAAAATCATTAATTAAAGGTAGTATTACCTAACTATATATGCTAACCATATATAACTGTTACAATAACATTTCCCATATTTTTATGCACTGTACTACGGCTACAATATGTTATACAGTATATTATAAACATTTACATGTGATCGTAGGACAAACCAGAAATCCCCACCAAAAACAACGGCCATAATAAAAATATAATTGAACAAAATAACCTTCGGAATGTTCAATCTTTAACACTTCAAATCGTACAGCATTATAGCATGTACTGTTTTGGAAATCAGTGTTGAATCATATCTGTACCGTACATGTACAAAAATACTTCACGTAAACCATGTTCGCCACCAATTGGTGGATAAATGTTATCACATCGTGTACGATAATAGTTACGATCGGCTATTATTTTTGCGTGTCGACGTTTAAGAAATGGGAAAAGCTCAACGTGCCTTACATTAAACCAATACCGTTTTTTGGAAACTTTTTGAAAGTAGCTATAGGAAAGGAACATCATTTGGAATTTTACGACAAAATCTATTACGAGTTCGCGGGTCACAAATATGGAGGACTGTATCAGATGAGGACGCCTATTTTAATGATTCGCGATCCAGAAATAATCAACGACGTGCTAATAAAAGATTTCTCGTATTTCCCCGACCGTGGTTTTACCTCGGATTTCGCGGCAAATCCGTTGTCGAACAACCTATTCTTAATGGAAAATCCTCAATGGAAGACAATAAGAAACAAATTGTCCCCCGCTTTCACTTCGGGAAAGCTTAAGACCATGTACGATCAGATCAAAGAGTGCGGTGATGAAATGATGAAAAACATCAATACAAATTTAAATAAAAACAGCAACGAAATAGAGATAAGAGATATCATGGGAAAGTATTCGACTGACGTCATCGGCACTTGCGCTTTTGGGCTCAAATTGAACGCCATAAACGATGATGAATCGCCATTTCGCAAGTACGGCAAATTAATATTCAAACCTTCACTGAGATCACTTTTCAGAGAACTGTGTGTGTTGATTAGCCCAGCACTCTTGAAAATCATAAGAGTAAAAGATTTTCCAACAGACGCAACTGACTTTTTCCACAAGGCGTTTAAAGAAACGTTGACATATAGAATTGAAAATAAAATTGTCAGAAACGACTTGGTTAATTGTTTAATGCAAGCGAGAAATGATTTAGTTTTGAATAAAGATTTACCTGAACATGGTAAGATATTTTTTATTTTAAATATTAAAATTAAAAAAAAATCATTTGTTGCGTAAATCAAATATTGTGTTTTAGAAAAATTTACCGAATCCCAAATCGTGGCAAATGCTTTTATAATGTTTGCTGCTGGTTTTGAAACTGTATCCACTACTGTAAGTTATTGTTTATATGAATTAGCGTTGAATAAATCCATTCAAGACAGAGTACGCCAAGAGATTCAATTAAAACTGGCCAAAAATGATGGACATATTAATCATGAATTTTTGATGGATCTTAATTACTTGGATATGGTTATAGCAGGTAACCTTTGTTATTATAATTTATATTATTTCATAATATTGAATTATTTTAAAATCATAACTAAATGCTAAAACTATTTAATTTACTGTTTATTGAAATTTAATCAAAAGTTTAGGATAATTATTTTCCTCTCCAGTTGTGATTAATTAATCTTATTATTTTAATATTTTACTAAAAAATAAAAATAAAAATATTTACAGTAATCAGTAGTTCTTTGGGAATAATCAAATTTATAAAATTTTATTATTTTTACGAACATTTAAATATTGCAATTTTTCAATTGGGTTAGTAATATATTTAAATAATGTAATATTATTTAATTTTCCAGTATACATTTAATAAAAAATTCAATAATAATATGTCAATTTTTTAAATCAAAATTATATAATAACAACATATTATTTTAGAAACACTCCGTAAGTATCCTCCACTGGTATTTTTATTAAGAAAAGCATCACAAAAATATCGATTTCCCAACGATTCATTAATAATTGAAAAGTACCAAAAGATAGTAATTCCTATTTATGCAATACATCATGATAGTAAGTATTACACGGAACCTGAAAAGTTTATTCCTGAAAGATTTTCGGCTGAAGAAAAAGCAAAACGCCCAAGTGGTATCTATCTCCCATTCGGTGATGGTCCCCGAATATGTATAGGTATGTATATTTTTAAATGGAAAATTAAAATACAATAAATGTATATATATTTTTTTCTTTTAATTTATAGGAAAACGTTTTGCTGAGATGGAAATGAAATTAGCTTTTGTTGAAATTTTAACCAAATTTGAAGTAACTTCATGTGAAAAAACAGAAATTCCACTAAAATATTCTAAAAAAACTTTGACATTAGTGCCACAACACGGCATTTGGCTAACATTTCAAATAATTAATTGACCAAGGATTATAGTATTAAAAAGTAACTGAAGTTTTAATTTAAATATTAGTTAAAGAATTTTGAATAGTAATGGTCAGTTATTTTAATTTTTAAGTATTCCTTTATTTTTTTTACATCAATCCGTAGCTTGTATTTAATGAATTAATGTAATGAACTATTTTTAAAATGAACCATCACAAAATAAAAAAACTGCTATTTTGCCATTTAAATATGTTTAAAAAATTATGAATATTATTTTTTATTTTTATTTTTATGGTGTGTGAAAAAATTTAAGAAACTTTCTAATAAAATGTCAATCCTATGCGAATAATAATAATATTAATTACCTAACGTTTTATATTTTTGCAAAATAATTCTGATGATTCTTACAGCTTTTGTCAATTTTTGAAGTTCAACGCTTATTAGTTATTATAAAAATTCTACATATGTATTTCTATATTAATTTGTTTAAAAAAAAAAAAAAAATTAAATAATTAACGTATTAACTAGGTATATAAAGATATTTATTGTACCTACATAATTAAACAGCCGAAATCCATAATTGTAATGTTTATTTCATATAACTGGAAATATAGTTTATATTTTATAAATTTAATATCATATTTTCAAAGTTGACAGATTGAAAACTGTATTCATGGAGCAATTAAAATTTTTAAACTAAAAAGAAATAAAATCAAACTTTTTATTCAAATACAGATATATATTAATAAATATTATAACGTCTGTCTTTATTTATTACTTTATAGAAACCCTGAAGCTGTTAAAATAATAATAAAAATGTATAATATATTATCAAGTTTCTAATACTACTTACTTAATATAGCTTTTAATAAAACTTTCTTGCGAGGTAAAAGTTTTTAAACCATCGTAGGCCGTGAAGCAAATATTAGATCAATATCCAAGTATATTTTATGTATTTGATATCATTAATAAAATAAATATAATATAATTTGCTCTTCTTATATTGTTCTGTTATCTACCTGTACAAAATATTGGTACTATTTTTTATAATATTAAATCTGTCCGCGGTCGTTTAATAATAATGGATTTAACTGGCCATTGTGTAGATTAATACGTATATACCTAACGTATACATAATGTATAATATTCTACAAATTAGTTTCTTCCGCTTCCGTAAGATTTCTTCAAATTTCAGAATTCAAACCTCTTTTTTCCATTGATAAATTCAAGGCTCCTTTAATTTTTCCCTACATAAGGTATTTGAATAACAGTTTTGGAAATAAATATGATGATGATGGTATAAATCATAAAATGGATTCTTTTAGGACGCTATTATACAAACATTTTAAATACATAGTTGTTACATTTCCCAGTTAAACAACAATGATAAATAAATTATGATAGTCACTCATGTAGAGAGTAGGTATATCAAGAAGACCTGGTAAATAAAATATATTTTGTTCTAATAAATATTTTTAATCTATTTGTTAATATAATATAGTTAGGTTTCTTGATATGAGTATATTTCTTAATTATTTATTAACCATATAATTTCCTCAATTTTGGTCATACGTTTATGTGGCCTTATTTTTTTTTTTAATCTTCCTGTGACATCCTGTATATTACAAATTTGTAATCGTTAGTTGAACATATGTTAAGAAAATTACATACTAATGAAATTCACCATTATTTAGTATCGATATACGTCAATATTGCATTCTAAATTGGCCCAATAAAACGTTAAAATAACTTGGAAGTAATGCATACCACAAAAGTTTTCTTTTGAACTTAATTCGTTTATTTGCCACACGAGAACCAAGCGTGTAAACGTTTTATTGTAAGCTTCCTGTTTACCAACAAATGGATTATAATCAAAACAAATAATACTATTTTTAAAGCTATTTACATAAGCAATTTAACAAATCCACAATCTTTCAAATCTAAGTTATCCGTTTAATCATACTAGTCCGAATTAATAATATAGCCTAGTACAGGGGTAGACAAACTTTTTCAACAAGTGAGCCACATTACATTTTTTCAAATGTTTAGTGATTTGTTAAGGTATGTGAATATTGAATATAATATTATTTACATCATTACATGTAGCTTAACAATAAACATAATATAGTAATATTCTTCTTTCATTAATTCTCAATTGGAATTTGGAAAATGATATGTTTTTTTTATTCTTGCGTAATAAATGCTTTACTTTGTATATAAAACGTAAAAGTGTGTTTAGTATTATACTTTAAGATGACCTACATGATCAACAGATACTGGTATGATTATTTTTTGATAAGTTCAATCCTTTAAAGTATCCATTGGTCTTTGGATTTAGGCCATCGGCAGCATGATAAGCCAAAAATGAAATCCATTTGTTGTATACCTAGTGGTGCTTACAACGCAACTGAATAATATACATTATACACGGCATATTTATAAACTTTTTTTTAAATATAATTATAAATTAAAAATCGAATCAAAAATTGATAAATTCTATGAAATTCTTTATATTTTTTTTACTTGATTCAAAAATATCCTCATATTTTAATAAACTAACTAAATAGTATATAATTACTTGTAGTTATAACTTATATAGGACTAAAAAAGATATAACGATAAATAAAAATAGAAGCTATTCAACTTATGAAAAAAATTGTGAAAATAATTTAGGTTATAACATTATAATATTAAATATACTGATGTCATATTATTTTTTTTTCAAGAATATTATATTTAAGAAAGTTATTACGTTTTTAATTAATTTACTAAAAAAAATCTAAAAAAAAATAGGCTATTTGACTTCAGTTTTGGGGAGAGACAATTTCTCTGACTGCAGTTTCTCTATCGGTAACCGATACCATGTAAAAAAGGGTAAATATGTTTATCATATAAGCAAATTTAAAAAATCGACTATTTTGAAAATTAAAAAAAAATTTAATCAAATTCAAAGTTTTTATTTTCAGTTACGAGAAGTACGAATGGAAAAAAATTATTATTATTATAATTAATATATATAATACAAAAATAAAAATATTTAGCATATTGCATTAGATACTAAGTTACGTAGTTATACATACATAAAGATGTCTCTTTTAAAAATAGTAAATAGTTGTTAAATATATAAAATAGTTACTTAATTTTTCGGAATCATCTTTAAGTTGGTAGGTTTGTAGATAAAATGGACTATATTGAACACAAATGCTGCAGTTGTGTTTTATTATGCCAGTAGCTGTTAAGCAATCAGTTAAACAATATTTGGAAATCGGAAATAAAGTATGCCCGTAGAGTATATTAGTTGTGGCAGAGCAATCAAACGATGACCTAGATGTTTTGGTTCAACTAACAGCCCTGAAGTGTATTTTCCAGCCTTTTTCTGAAAAGTTTACAAATGGACAAACGGGATAATAGCTGTAATAGTAATAACAATACCTGACCAAACAGAAATAAACTGAGACTGTCTCATCTGAAATGTTTGTATATGTACTTTAAGACATATCAATTGTTATATCACATAAACGCATAATTACCCTACAAAACAAAATATTTAAATTACCAATATATCTTGAAAGCTGAGAAGCAACAAAATTTGTTAAAAAACTTTTTTTAAATCCCCATTAAATAATTTTACTTGCTTAATAAGGGATAAAAACTTTAATAGGATACCTAGTCTTAGATAAGCATCTGTGTAGTAAAATTACGTGTTGGTGGATTATTAACATAATTTTGTATTCGGGTCAAATGGTTATTCAAGAATATAATGTTGCCAAATAAACACTAATCTTTAAGGTAAACACGTAACACGTTTATCGGTATGCAACGCTCTAATGAATGAGAATTACCTGGCTTGAACTTTTCTTTGCTTAAACACATAGAAATGTTATAGGTAAAGTATAATACATAGAAACGGGACATAACAAATATCACTTAATGAGTGTGATATTAACTTAAAAGACGGTTGAAACGATATTTTCTTTGTGATTATAAATGTTAATTATAACTATTAGCACATAATTTGCGTTAAGTAGAATCCAAGATATTTTGTTAGTTGGCAAGTGATTACAAATCGTTCACAGTCGTATCGATGATTATTTGTTTTAATTCAAATTTATGTTAAATTAAAAAATAAATAAATCTAATTTAGGTACTCGTGAACATTTACAGTAATTAATTTCAATATTAGAATTTGATCGATTTGTGTGGAACACATTCCATTTACGATGTTTAATTACTTTCTAATAAGATTATTTTGCTATTCTGAGATATTCAATATGTGTGTTTTTCCTGTTAACGACACTGAACACATATAGATACCTAATGAAACAAATTGATTTCTTTTACGTCGTTTAAATGTCAATTAGAATTTTTATAATTTTATTCTATTTTTTTTTTAACCTATTCAACAATATAATAGATATATTAAGTATTATTTCAGTATTTTATTTTTGAAATTTTGATCATTGATAATAATATTACAATTTATACATTTGAGGGATAAAAATACAGGTAAATACCGTCATAAACATAAAGAGAAGACTTAAAAAAAATAAATATTTAAATCCATTATTAAATCGTATAAATTATAATTGTAATAAAACTGAAAAACATGAGCGAATTATCAGATTTATAGTGGAGTTGGCCAAAGGATCAGTGGTGTACAGAATGTCAGAAGATAGATATACAGAGAAAAGAAGAAAAATATATGGGATTACAATAAATGTATTATAAAAACCTCTTTAAAAACCTTTTGGTGAAAGCCAAATCAATGTAATCTTTATGAATTTAAATAATTATATTAGGGAAAAAATAAAGAGCTGAGGTAAGAAGCATCGCTATTTATTCTAAAGAATCTAATCCTCGTTTATAAGAGTTTTCATATTATTTACATCACTGAGAAAATACTGAAGAGCCTTACTTCAATAAAAAAATAAAAAAATAATGCTTGTGTAGGTACTTGTGTGTATATTTTTAATAACATACAAATAATAACTATACGTAATATTATCTACGTATTATGTGTAACACCAAATAAGTAACGACAATATTGTGAACAGAAATATCATAAGGTTTATATTTACACGTACATACATTACACTCCTGAGAGACGGATTCTTGGCGTTATGTCAAAAAATAATAACAATTTCAACAATATTTGCTTA